AGTGCTGTCATTAAATAGATACGTAGATTTTGTTTCAAAAGATTAATCATGAATAATTAAGTAAATAAGAAATTAATGTATGATTTTGTTAACATAATCATACAATAGTTTCTGGTCAAATATTTAATAAGATATTATTTCCTTACTATAGTAATTTCTGCATAAAATGATAAGAAGCCAAAGATCCGAGTCCTCAACAATGCGCGGGGGATCATATACCTCATCCACCATCAATGATAGATTCAGGCAAGAAAATCTCCTCGAACCAATTTCAGTGGACAGCGAGTCAGCATCCTCTGATGATGAGAAAAAAAACAAAGTAAACATATGTCTTATTCCGGTGTTCATATCAGAGACCATTTTTCTGGGAAGTCTGGCAGTCTTGGCATACTTTCTCAGGTGAGTAATGAGGAATGCATTTTTTTGATTTCTAAAGCTGAAACAAGTGGGTGAACCAGAACCGTCTTTGACATCTAGTTTACAACGGTTCTTGCTTCCAATCATAAGAAGAAAAAATTAAAATGAACGTATAAGAAATTTCAGTATGTAATACTCTTTTGTTAGGTTGTTGGCAGAAGTGATCTCTTGAATAAGTTTTTTAAGCTTCACCTACAGTGTTTTTGTTAGATTAAGTATATTTTGTTCTTGAGAGTTAATTTAAAGAGAGTATTGTTTTTACACGTGGTCTCATGCTACAAAGAATTCGGAAAGGTTTTTCTTAATTTGTTTATAGGTTTGAGACGGTATTTCCAGTCCTTGATCACGGGTTTGTTGTCAACGATCCTAAGTTTATGTATCCAAAGGAGCCAGCCTACGATAACTCAACAATTCCAGTTAATTTCAGTGAAAAGACGTTGTATGCGCTATCCCTTGCCATTCCTTTTGGATTAGTAAGTAGCAATACCTCTTAATATGTATTATTATATGGTCGACTTACCTCACAATTCATATATAGAACTAGTGATAAAAAATAGTGTTTGAAAAACTAATAATGTCAGTCATCTACTTCAAGTATAAAATATTATTATACTAACAATAAAACAAAAAGAATTACATGTGTACACAGGACTAAATCAAACGTAATTGAATAATATCAAAACGAAACACTTATTATTGAGAATGCACTAGTTGCCAACAGTGATATAAAACCAATAACGTCACCAATACACCAGTTGCTAAAAGGAATTATAAACAAATACTTAGTTTCAACTATACACCAGTTGCTAACAGTAATATTTAACTTCAACAATACACCAGTCGTTAACAGTAATTATAAACATATACATAGCTTCAACAATACATCACTTTCCAACAGTAATTATAAACAAATACTTAGCTTCAACAATACATAAGTTGCTAACAGCAATAGTAGACAGATATTTAGCTTAAACAATACACCAAGGAGGTAATAAAAATTGTCCCAGTAATTATAGACTCATTAGTCTTACATCAGTTGTGGGAAACGTTAGGGAAAATCTGATAAAAGATGCTTTGCAAAATCGTTTAACAAAGTTTAGAATTTTATTGGATAGTCAACATGGTTTCACTAAGGGCAAATCTTGCCTTACAATTTTTTTGACATTCTTTGAAAAGATGAGGGTAAGGGTGTAAATTTGGTGTATCTGGATTTTCAGAAACTTTTGACAAGGTGCTACGTAAAAGGCCTGTAAAATGTTTTATCTCTATAGGTGTTAGGGATAAATTAGCTAATTGGATAGATGAAAGAAGAGGGTTGTTATAAATGGAGTTCAGTCAAAGTGGATTAATGTTACAAGTGGGGTACTTCAGGGCTCAGTCTTAGGACCTTTGCATTTTTTTATTTATATCAATGGCACAAATGATATTAAAGTCTTGGATGTTGCTAGCTGTGAAGAGGATGCTGCTGATTTACAAAAGGATTTAGATCAT